TGAACAGTTTATATGATTGTGACCACATCTTGGAGGAGGGAAGGAGAAAGAACAGTCTAAAAGGGAAATTGGTGCCAGTAGTGAAGGATCTTTTAAATCTTATTTAGAGCTTCAGACTTTGTCCTACAGGGGTAGGAGATAGCAGAGATCTTTTAAACAGGGAAGTGACATGATTAGAATGGTGTTTTATAAAGATAACTGGTGACTGTGGGATTTGAAGGAGTAGGTGGTGCAAATAGTTAAGCGCTCAGCCACTAACCTAATGTTGGCAGTTTGAACTTAACCAGAGGAGACTCAGAAGCAAGCCTTCCAAAAGATCACAGCCTTGAAAACTGTAGGGAGTGCAGTTCTCCTTTGCAACGCAGGGGGTAGCCATGAGCTGGAATCCCCTCTACCGGCAACTGGTTTCTAGTTTGTGGATTTTGAGAATGGGCTGGAGGAGCGTGAGACCTGTTGAGTTTGGTCACTCTTGATCTAAACTCTAGAACTGCACTGTCTACTACAGTAACCCCTAATCACATGTGCCCACATGAGCGCTTGAAATATAAGTAGTCCAAAATGATCTGTGCTACAGTGTAAAAATACACACCAGATTACAGAGTATGAAAAAAAATGATGAATATACCTCATTAATAATTTCTTATATTGATTACAGGCGTGCTGGTAGAGTGGGGTGCCACTCTGGGCACCTTTCAGCAAAACTAAAAGAGCTTTGTGACACTTGCCCTAGCAGGGCAGAGGCTAGGCTGAGGGGTCAAGGGACAGAGAGAGAGAACGCATGGCTGAGGGGAAGATGTCTTTATCAAAGGATTGTATCCTGAGCATTTCTGTTGTGCAACTTCTTGTTTCCCTAATAAACCGTATAATCGTGAGTGTTGTCTGTAAGTTCTGCCTGGCCAATGCAATGAATTATCAAACCTAGCAGAGAACTAGAGAGTGCTACCAGTTCTGACAGAATTGGTTAAAAGGTTGGAGAGTGGCAGCATGACTAGCCTCACCTCATAGAATCAGCCTTGGGTTGTTGATCTTGATCCTTTTCCCTTGTGAAGTTACAGGAGGTCTGAGGCAGCTGCCGTGTGCTTTTTACAGTGGGCCTGGAGAGGCTTCGTGGTCTTGGTGAGCAGCTCGGTGGTCCTTGTCCATCCTGATCCTGGTTAGTACGTCTGTCTCCTTGTATTCTCTCTTCTATTTTGTCTTGGTTTGCCCTGCTTGTGACCCCAAGCCTTTGGCAGATGAACACTTTCACCATGTGTTTCCAGGCGTCCCAACATTCATCCCCTTTGTGCTCATTGGTGGTGACACAGTGACTTTCAGTTATGCTTTGCTTCAATAAACTCCATAGCAAGACTATTTCTCATGGTAAGAACTGTTTCCTTTCAATGATAGTTTGTTATCCTCTAGTCCATTGTGAATATGCATGTTTTCTTTAAATGATTGAATCTATCTCTGGGGCAGAAAATAAAGAAGAGGAGATGAGAGCCTCTTTGGAACCCACCGAAGACCACAGGGTCATGACAACGAGACACATGTGAAGGATTCTCAGTTGTGACTTTGATGTTTTAGTATGCTTCATGGGCTCAAGGTTTTATATACATTTTCAGTGGTTCAGATCAGAGTCTGCAGTCTTTTCTCACCCTGATCCTCAAGAGCATGTTCTCACGCTTAGTATCCTTGTGAATCATCTTCTTCCCATTTTAGTCAGTCACCTGCCTACTGCTCTAGTATTTGTTCATCTCCTCCAATAAAAGTCTGTTCCATAATAGCAGGGACTTTGTCCTATTGACTTCTGTATCCCCAGAATCTAGAACAGAGCTTGAGCATAGAACCTGTTCAAGAAATGCGGTTTGAAGGAGTTAAC